TCAAGTATTTTTTTTTTTTACAGTACGTAAAAAAGGCAGAAGGAATATAGGACTGAGTGAACTACTTTGCCTTGAAGGAGTCTGTTGCTATATTTTCTTACAGAATTGTGGGCAGAGGGGGAAAGTATTTTCCTTATGAAAAGCTACTAAGTTGTGTAATTTGTGTACCAACGTCTAGCTGATCATTAGGCCTTTTAAACAAGGATACTTGCTTAATGGTTCACTTATTTGAAATTGTCTTGTGGTTATTCAGTCTTGGACGCCCAGGTTTTCAGGGATGGGCTCTGTTTTCTCCTAATACTAGAAGATCCTGCTTGATTTTAAAAGTGCTGATAAGTAACATCTAGCCATGATGGCCTGTGTCAACTCTGGAGTTCTGATGGGCTGCAGCTCTTAAAACTTAGTGTTTGTGAGGAAGTGTTTTATATATCGTGTTTGTTACCTGCCAGGGAGCTCCACCATCATGAAGCAGGAGTGCAGCTGGCCTTGTTTGCTACATCCAAACCTGGTGGTTTAGTGTTGGAAAAATTAAAGCGAGTTTATAATGTAATCAGGTTTGAGCAGTGCCATTTTCATAAAGGGAGCTTATCTGGATGAACTCAGTTTGTGCTAGCTGTATAGTCTGTGCAGAAACAACATCTTAAAATAAGAGGTTTGCATAAAGCTATGCAGCTGTCTGAATGTATTGGACAGCTGGACACTTGCACCTTGAAGTGTTATTGCCCAGATGTGCAAGTGATATCTAGATCAACTGCCAGCAATATGACTGAGGCCAGGTCTTGCATGTTCTGGCTGTTAATCAAAGTGGATTAGTAAAAGTGTAAACAGGGTGGTACTTCCTTCACTTTTCAGACTGTGGAAGACCACAGGACCTCTGTAACTTGGTGAACAGAACAGCTTGCTGGGATGGGAGTGGTGCAGTTCATGACAAGCCACGTTCTGTGGCACTATCGGCCTTAAGCATCAAACTGTGCTCTAAGCATGTGTCTCAGGACACATGCAATTAAAGTTTCAAAGCTTTCATAAATCTTCTTGCTTCTTTTGGGGGTGGGTGTTGTCTGGGAAGACAGACCTTGTAGAAGGAGTCTGCTGTGCATCCATCTTCATGGCCTTGCAGGTCTGCTATAATATGGCTGCTGGCTTTATCCTGTTACCTAATTGTATACTTATGTTTTCCCTACTCAAACTGGTTTTCAGCCTGAGTTTGCATTTAATCTCAATTAAATGTCTTCATGTGACTGCTTGTTGACATACTCCCTACACTGGAAGGTTCTTCCTACCTCTTAAAGCTTATGTAAGGTTACTCTCCATATTTAACTGCAGGTTGGTTGGCAAGGATTAGAAATGCATTTTCTCAGACTGTAGAGAATGTTTGAGCATTGCTCTGTAGGTAAAGACTGTTCCTGCGTTAGGCAGCAATAGCATTACTTTGGTTATGTTTCTTAATGGAAATTGGACTGCTAGGTGTCATCAAGAACCTTGTTAACTGTTTTTTGGTGATGGGCAATGACACTTGACTGTTGGAGCCAGAAATGAGGTTTAATTAAAGCATCAAATAAACTGAGAGCCTGGCACTGGATCAGCAAGAATGGAAATGGTTCAAGCTGGCTGTTGCTTGTTGGGGAAACTGCATGTTGCAGGGAAGGGATAATAAATGCTGAACCTCTGTGGAGTTAGAAATAAGGACTTTTGATCTTAGAAGACCCTCGAGTAGTTCAATTCCTTTGTCTTTACTGATTTTTGTCCTTCATGCAGGAGGAAAGACACAGTGTGGAGTGACAAAGTGGACTGTTGTCCGGCTCTTGTTCATCAGTTCTTTTATATGCTGGACTATTTGTGCTCCTGTTCTGGTATTGGTACCAGTATACAGAGTAATGCATGCTCAGTACTCCATATTTGCTCTGTTTGTGCTCAGTTTCAGCAATGCTGACTTCCTTTAAGTATGTTTTCAGTTGATGATTTCTGTAATGAGAGTTCCTCTACTGTATTTAACCCAAAACTGTGCTGACAGGCAGTGACCATCATACTTCTCCCTACAAGGTGAGGAAGAGTGGATAGCCTGGCATCTTGGAGTGTTTCCAGACCTTCACTGTTTGAAGCAAGGGAAGCAATAAATAAAGCTGGGATGTCTGGATTTTGTTCTTGACTCTGTTGCTGACTTTCTGGGTCAGCTACCTCACTTCTGTGGTGGTGTTATCTTTGCTTTGTGAGCTGCTGAAGCTGCACTCCTGTTTGATTTGCTACCTTCAGTGAAATTGAACTTGCCCAAAGAAGAAGTTTGCATGCTGTGGCCACTACTACATGCTCATGGAGGCCTCTGTCCTTCAAAGGATCTTGGACAACACTGAGCTCTGCATGGCTCAGGTAGTTTAATGCCTGTCTGAGACCTTATGATAGCAATAGACCTGATGAATTGTGAGTTGGTTAGTTTGTCTTGCTCTTCTTGCTCTCCATGCTCCCTTTCTGCCTCACATCACCACCAGTCACTTTCAAATGACAGGAAAAGGGAAGGCTGGAAAGGTGCTGTAGTCTGGCTATGTACCAATTGCTTTTCCAGCGAACTTCTTGGTACTGCTGCTCTGCAGTACTTTTGAACTCTCCTTTTAGTCGTCTTTCAAGCCTGGCTGGAAGTGTGGTTCAAGGAGCCTGTGAACAAGCAGCTGAAAAATACTCATCTGATGGATGTAGCCATTCTTGTTCTTCACCCTGAATCTATAGTCTTCTGTCCAGACACTGGCTTAAATGTACGTCACATGCACTGTTTAAGGAGCAGTTATGCAAACAGTAAAGCCATATAGAACACCATGCCTTAATTTACCACACTAATTAAACTTGAGAGAGTGCCTCTGACATTTAGAGTCTCATGATCACGTTGAAGTAGTGGTTGCATGTCTTGCTGATGTATCTGTTCTTGTTTATGCGGAGGCCTCTGGGTATGAACGCAGAGTGGAGGTGAGAAATAAGAAAGAGCAATACAGTTTCTTTTCCCTTTGCTGCAGAGCATAGAGGATGTTTCAGCGTTTTCTTAATGGTTTTAACATCTATGTGTGAACAGCTTGCAGTTCAGGAAACTGTGCTGAGGTGTTTAAAGATTGAAGGAAAGTTTTTTTTCCTGCATTCAAAGCTTTCACTCCAAATTTTTGAATGCATAGATGCATAGTCTGTGCCTTTTGAATGCTTTTGTTTAGCATTCATGCTGCTAGTTGCATTTGTGGTTGAACTAAGAGCTAAGGAATAAAAAGGCCCTTTTGAAGGGGAGGATATCTGAGTGCTGCTCCAGGGACTCTGTCAGAAACTGAAGAATGCCCGAAGTTTTTTTTGAAGCTCTAATTTTACATTAATTACTGTTTGATAACTTGGAGTAGAAACTTTTCCTAACTTAACACAAACTGTATATGATGGGGCAGAAAAATGGAGAATTTTTTCTTTCTGCTCTCCCCTTCCTTCTAGATGGTTTATGTTTGCCATATTGCAGCTGGGGTTTTATTGGTGAAGCAGTATCAGGTTTTGGGGGGGTGAGTATGTATGGGTCGAAGGTAGCAAGATAAGATGAGCTGGACTTTTCCTGCCTTTCTTCCTCTGCTGTGAGGTAAGTGGAGGATGCATGAGGGCAGGACCTCACCTCTGTTTACAGAATCACAGAATATTAGGAGTTGGAAGGGACCTCAAAAGATCATCTAGTCCAACCCCCCTGCCATAGCAGGATCACCTAGACTACATTTACATACATACCATCAGGAGGCAAAGAAGCTGACCAAAGATGCCAGGCAGGGGAGAGTGAAAAATAACAGGAGAGGAGTACAGAGTACTGGGTACAGAGTTTCAGAAGAGGAGACTGCATCCTTTCCTTTTTTGGATGGGAGACCACCTGAGTTGTCAGCAACAGTGTATATGGGATGGTGCTGTTGATTACTCTGTGCTTCTGTCAAAGTACTTGACAGTCTCGACCCTTTACACTAGAAGAGACAGCTTTGTTGAGGAAGTACCATGTATGTGTTAAGGCTTGGTACGTTTTAGGTCTGCTGGGCTACTGTGTGTGCGCGCAGGGGGTTTGAGGGGAAAACCTGAAAGATGTGCGTGCTCTGCAAGCATCCAGTCTGTCTGCTAATCAACAGCAAAAGAGAATCTTGTGGCTTCTGAACAGCTACTTCTCTTTCCTCCCTTGGCATCCCCTGTTCCTCAAGAGCTCAGCAGAGGGAAAAACCAGGCTTTCCTGCAGGACTTGAATGACGAGCCAAAGCTGACTCTCAAAGAATCTTATATTTTAGGTCATGTGGTTCTCTTTAAATTAAAATGACAGTGGATCATGGGATTATGCTTCTTGTAAGAAGAAATTATCTTGGTTGTGTCTTGGAAAAATTAGTCAGATTTTTAGATGTAGAAATTGAGGTACAACAGTCCTAATAATTAAGAATAGTGTGGGAGCAAAAGGCATATATAAAATAGCCGAAAGTGGGTAAGTATACATCTGTAAACTACACATTTGACGCTATGTTTTAGAACTTGACTCCAACTCCTGTGGTCTGGGAATTCACCCAAGAAGTCTAACAGGTATTTTGCAAGTTGACTGGCTAACACAAGCATAGTCACCTGTATTTGCCAAGGAGCAAGGAGTCCTCAGTATCCTCTCTTATTTACTCTACTGGCTATTACTTGCTGTTGATGGCACTAGCTGGCCAGTTGCAGTTACTGTCTGTTGCTGATGAGCTCAGCTGTATCAAATTCTGAGCTCCTGGTAGAAAATCCTGCCCCATGTGCTCGGGTGAGTGCCAGGCCGTGTGGCAGGTTCTCTCTAGCTGTATCTGTTCTTGCAGGTGTAGTTCTGTGTATAGTAGTCTCCAGAAGCTTAATACAGCTTACAGGGTGAGAGTAGCATAAAACAACATCTTACTCTGTTCCCAACTCTGACTAATATTGGGCTACTGGAACCTTCCAGGCTCCCCTTGGTAATGTCTTCTCTTGACAAAAAAAAAGTGGATCTTCCTTTTCTTGTAATGCAGGTCTTCTTGAGCTCTCCTTGGGAAAATTTAGAAATGTGCTACTTAACCAGACCAATCCAGTGGAAGCTGTAATCAGGAACATTGGAAGCAATGTGACTGTCGTCATTTTTCAAGTACATGCCCAGCAAAACGATGTGGTGATATCCTTTGATAAGGTATGGTAGGAGTCTCACTTATATTCTTAAATGCTACTTTTCTTTCAACAAAGGACTTGTCTCTGGTGCATGTAGGAATACAGAACTGAAGCGATATAAATAATATTCATATCTTACCTGCATGGCTCAGTATTTTATCTCCATAAATCCCTTCTCATACTTATGTCATAACTGCTATTTTGGTGGTCTGAATGCTAAAGGAATTTCATAGCTGGCTTGAAGATGTTTCAAGGCTCTTTGTTCTTGGTGGAAGTGGTGCTTTTGACATGTGACTGCTGACTACTATCCATCACCTTGTCAAATTAAAAACAGATTGATGATAAGCTCTGAGCCAGCACTGTGCCCTTGTGGCCAAGAAGGCCAATGGCATCCTGGGGTGTATCAGAAGGGGGGTGGTCAGTAGGTCGAGAGAGGTTCTCCTCCCCCTCTACTCTGCCTTGGTGAGACCACATCTGGAATATTGCATCCAGTTCTGGGGCCCTCAGTTCAAGAAGGACACGGAACTGCTGGAGAGAGTCCAGCGTAGGGCTACAAAGATGATTAAGGGAGTGGAGCATCTCCCTTATGTGGAAAGGCTGAGGGAGCTGGGTCTCTTTAGTTTGCAGAAGAGGAGACTGAGGGGAGACCTCATTCATGTTTATAAATATCTAAAGGGTGAGTGTCACGAGGATGGAGCCAGGCTCTTCTCGGTGACAAACAATGATAAGACAAGGGGTAATGGGTACAAGCTGGAACACAGGAGGTTCCACTTAAATTTGAGAAGAAACTTCTTCTCAGTGAGGGTGACAGAGCACTGGACCAGGCTGCCCAGAGAGGTTGTGGAGTGTCCTTCTCTGGAGACATTCAAAACCCGCCTGGACGCCTTCCTGTGTAACCTCATCTAGGTGTTCCTGCTCCGGCAGGGGGATTGGACTAGATGATCTTTTGAGGTCCCTTCCAATCCCTAACGTTCTGTGATTCTGTGATAAGTATTTGCCAATTACGCAAATTGCTTTAGGATGTTTAGTTTTGTGGCTTGGATCTAGCCACTATAGATATATCTTGTCATCCCAACTCCTTGTCCTGAATCCAATTCTCCTCTGGTGGCATACGGAGAAATTCCTATAGCACTCCAGTGAAGGCTGCTACTTCTAGCCAACAATATCGGAATACCTATTGATATACATTAGCCTCAGTTTGTCCTATCTTTACTGGTCCAAGATAATGATTTTGTGAGTGTCTAAGTGGTATTTGAGCAGAACATAGACTAAACTGAAGGTGGTAAATGGACATCCGACAGCTGCTATCCAGTTTCTCTCTCCCCATCAGTATTTTCCAAATGAGAACATACTGAGTGCCAAGAAGTATCCTGGGAAGCTTAGGAGGTAGGTAACCTGTAACATGTCACTCAGCTCAGTTGTCGTTGTGCTAGTGAAATAGCCAGAAGTACAGGGCTAAGCCATTACTGTTGCATCTATTTGGTCTTTGATTACCGCAGGTAGAATATTCTGCTGTCAGTTCAGACTCTCTTTGTGTTGGGCCTTACAGACCAAGGACAATGATGCCTAAATATGGCTATAGTTCCTCTAGGGCTGGCCTGCTTCTAGAAGTATGAAGCTAAGCCAGACCTTAGTCTGCCACGTCTAGAGTACCTCCTTACAGTGTTGCCTTGGATAACTCTGGCCTTCTTGGACAAAAGCACATTCTCCATGCTGAAAAATAGGTCTGAGTGCAGGTCAGTTGGTTGTTCCAACTGTGTGAGTGTGATACTGCCATTGCTGCCTGATTTTTCCTCTAGGCTTCTGGTTCTGAAAGGTATGGTGATGGTGGGGATTGGCTCAGTTGCTGACCTGGCCCCAAGTGCTTGTCTGGAATGGCTGGTGTTAAGCCAGTTGTCATGCAGTTGTTTCCATTCTGGTGGAGATAGTGAGGTACTTCTGCACTGTGGTTCCCAGAATGCTCTTTGGTGCCAGCTCACAACTTTCAGTGAGTGATATTCCAATCTTTTTTCACCTTTACTAGTCAATCCATTGCTGCACAGCAGTAGACTTCAACTAGCTAGATTTCTCTGCAACTTGCTTCTGTTTGTTAATTCTTTAGTAGTCTCAAACTTACCACTTGCATTTTTGAGCCTGAGCTAGGCAGTGTGTGGTGTCAAAAGCCACTCCCTTTTTTCCAGCTCTTTTTTTTCCATCTTCCTTTTTTACCAGCTAGCTCAGGGCTAAATGCCTCATCTGTAGCAACTGGCACTGAAATGTGTGCCCTGCAGATTTGTGGCAGAAATGTGACTCCCATGCAATACATTAAACTGTGGTAGAAATCTTCTCAAGAAAAACTGCTTCTTTATGTAATTTGTTTCTGTCCAGAATCCATCTGTGAACAGCTCAGGAACCGGAGTAGATAAAGGACTGGTTTCCATCCTTCGGCCTCAACAGAGCGTATGTACATGGTACCTTCGGTCACTTGATGCTAGCCAGGTGCTCAGCACAGCTATCTCTATTCCCTATTTGGAGAAAGGTATGTTCTTATGGCTTGCTCAGGAATACCAGCTCTGCCTATTACAAATTAACTATGAAATGAAGTGTTGACCTTTCAGAGGGGGTATTCTTACATGGTGCAACCATACGGTGGAGATGCCAGAAATTCTTTTGAAATGGGCTGAAAACATTTAGTATCACTGCTGAATTGCGAGTTGTATGTAGGATGTACTGCATATGGTGTTGTTGTGACTTCAGCCCAGCATATGTATCGGGACCTATCTTAGACTGCAGTGAAACCACTTGTGTTGTCTGCAGGACTAGAACCTGACAATTATCTTCCTAGCAAGTAGACTGTGCCTGCAAGTATATGCATTGCTGAAGTCTTTGAACTTTTTTGTGCTGTGTAATGGGAAAGTAAGAACTACTACAGTTACCTCTTCTGTGTTCTAGATCCTATTCCTGGAGGCTGCAATCTAGAATTTGACTTGGAAGTGGATCCAAATATTTACCTAGACTATACATTGGTTGATGTACACATCAAGTTTGCCCCTGCAAACTTGGGATATGGCAGGTGTGTGAAAAACTTCAGTGCACTGAGCAAGACCTTTGTCCTGTATTTGGCCAAGATCATAAAACAAGATTCTGCTGGAAAGGCTGACCATCCAGCTGGTGGCAGAAATCTTGTTTGCTGCAACAAACAGAGAAGTAAATGAGGGAAAGGAGGAGGGTAGAGGTAATACATGAGAGAGATAAGTTATGCAACTTCAGATGTGCAAGCAGTCAGCAAATGCTGAACCTTCCCATTCCTCAAAATGACTTAATTTCTTTGAAAAGCAATTGTGTCTTATAGCCAGTTTCATTCCTTTACTGGTACTGAAGCCTGATAATGACCTAGAGTTTTGCTTAACGTTGAGACTTCAAGTTATAAGGCATTATTTCCTGAATGGTGATTGGGGTCACAAATGATAGGCAAGGAATGGGAAAGGCTATATTCAGAGCTATATATGTAGTATGCATGGAAAAACCAACAGTGATGTGATCTTTGGCTGTTGTGACCTCTTGGAATTCTTGTGCTTGCTCCTTATAACAATTCCCAGGAAGCCTCTGTAAATGTAAAGGCAGGTACCAGCACAGATGCTACCTGCGTCAGGATAGTTCTGCATAACACTGCTGTAGTCTGTGCTCACAAACACTTAGTCTAGTTTTGAATTAGTTGCTGGTGTTAACGTGTAAAGAGTAGAAGCCAAACACTGCCAACTTGGATAGGTGACTTCTGAAAACTAATGTTAAGATCTGGGGGTTTGTACTGGGCACATAGCTGATCCCTTTTTAATTGTAGGGGAGCAAACCCACCATCCTGTGACTCAGGGACTGGTCAGAACTCCAGATGGCGACTGCGCTATGATGTCTACCAGTACTTCTTACCAGAGAATGATCTTTCTGAGATGGTACTCATGAGCCACATACAGAAGATGTCTGAGGTGCAAAGTATCAAAGCTAATGGCATTAAAGTAAGTCTGAAGCACTGGTGTACCAGGCATGTGGCAGTGGTGCTATCTTAAGTTTTCTCTTCTATGCTTATCTTCCTTGAGCAGTGACATAAGCAAGCTGCTGATGCTTCAGGTTTCTTGGTTCTATCTGGGATTTCTGGCTAGGAGGTATATAGTGAGTGTAGCATGCAAAATGGCAACCTCCCTCTCTTGGGCTAGAAATGGCTAGTTAACACAGCCCGAAATGCGGTGGAGTTGAGGCTTCTTGCAGTGGGCTTTGATATTAGGTTGATGTTAGTGACTGGTCTGTGACGTGTTTCTATATTTTGCACTCTTTTCTCAGTTAAACAAGCTCTTATTGTAGTGCCTTTCTGCTTGCTGAGTACTACTTTAGCCACAGTGCTCCTTCACTTTGTGATGTTGAGCCCACCTTACCTGTAGCAATACTGCCACTGAGTGTAGATCCAGAAGACAAGCCACTTCTGACAAAGATTGATGATCTCCTACAATGCCTGATTAGATGCTGAGAATTGAGCAGATAATGCAGGGAAGAGAGTAGGGAGGAGAGCATAGTGGAACTGAATTATAAATGGGCCCCATTTGGAGAGGCATAAAGAAATCTGATATGCAGAAGCAAACACTTGCTGCATGTTTACTGAATCTCCCTGCAAAAAGAGTGGGAGGGACAGAGAGGAGATTCTCAGTGGCCACAACCTGTCTGGCCCTGCTGGGGAGTAGAATTGCAGCCTTGCCTGCTTCATAAGCCAGATCTGGGTTAGTAGACTGACAGGGAAACTGAACTGAGTCCTCAAAGAGCAATACATGAGTGAGAGAATTTTCTCCCCATCAGAAAACATAGTGATGTTGGAGGAAGTGGAGTCTGTCTTGTAAGCTTTTAATGCTTCAGTTGCTCATCCTGAGAGGGCTCAGAATAAGAGTGCTCTTGCCTGCAGTTCTTGCTGGTCATTATTTTTGAGCTGTGAAGTGTTGCCTCAGCTGCATGGACACATCGTTATGCCAGCAGCGACAAACAATTCCTTGCAATTAAAAATACTATTTACTGTTCCAGATGCTTACACTGACAACTGATGACAAGACCAATGTCTACTTTTCCTCGCTTCCTGGGCAAGGTGTGATCTACAATGTCATAGTATGGGATCCTCTTTGGAACACTTCTGCTGCTTACATACCTGTGCATACATATGCCTGCAGCTTTGCTGACCGGGTGGATAACTGCTCTTCTCTTAGTAAGTTGGAACTTGTACATCCTTGCCAACTCATTTCAAGCTGCTTGTGCTGAGTGGTGCTTTTGAGATTATTTTTGGGTTTTTTTAATGTGTGTGGGAGCTCTTTGTTCTATACTAGATATATTTTGTTACTTTGACAAAGTCTACTTCTTAATTGAGGAGAAATTTTAGAATAATGAAATAAGACTAAGGAGAATTATTAGCAACTGAAGGTTTAATATGTGGCTCACAGACAACTCCAGTGCTACTCTAGCTTTTTCAACTTGAACTGGATACATAATCTTAAATCACTTGTAGGACTAGAGATGGTTCATGGGAAACTAAGTTAATGAAACATGAACTAGATTAGTTAGAATAATCAGGTTAGAACCCGTGCTGGTGCTAACAGGTAACTTACAGATATTTGAAAAGGAGATAGTCACCTAAAATAAGCATGAAGATAGTGCCAGCAATAGTGAAATGACTACAAAGTCATGCTACTTTGTACAGAGCTGTGTAAGGATAGAATTTGAGTAGAAGAGTGGCAAATCTGCCAGTCCCATTGTGACTGTGGAAGGAAGAAGAATAATGGGTAGAATATGGCTCATAAAATAAGATTTGTTCTCATGATTATTTTCTTATCACATACTGTGATGCAAGTAACTGTTGTCAAACTCAGTGTTGTCTTATGTCAACATGAGACAAATTATCTAGGCTAAACCACGTTTCTCTAATTTAGAGAACTCGAAAGATGTGGTTTACTTGTTTCAAAGAGCTTTAAGCAAGAAATTTGTAAGAATTTTGCCTAGGGGACAGAGGTGAGCCCTACTGGGATGTTGTTGGTCTCTTCTGTTGCTTGCAGGGTATATTAAAGGGAGACTATGGTGAAGATTGCAGAAATAAAGACTGTAGCTGCTGCCTGGGTCACTAATCCTGTAGCGCATTTTCTTTTAGATAGTTGGATGTTCCTTTTTTAAAGCTGAGTAGAGAATTTTCAGGTAAAGCTGTATCAGTATTATAAAAAGCACGTTAGAGCTACTTAACTATTGCTATAGAAACTTCAGCCTTTTGAATAAGGAGGAAGCTCAAACTGGAACTACTTCAGTATTCTGCTGGAGATCCTATCAAGATAACTGTTAGTTCAGGCATTGCAGATCTGCTCACATGATGCGTCTGAAAGAGTGATAGCTGTTGTCAGTAGGCTCAGTGGCAGCAACCTTACCTCAGTGTCGTTGTTGGGACTACTAGGTGTAATGCTCTTGTAACCCTCTCTCTTGCCTTGTAGGCAAACTCTCTACCAAAGTATTCTTCACTGCTATTGCTGTCCTTGGTCTCTTTGTTTGCTTTTTTGGACACAGATTCTGGAAAACAGGTACTGAATGTTGGTTTGTTTTTTTTCTTCAAGTCTGGTTGACACTTCATATATGTAACTTGCTGTGACTTAGAATGGTGTTGTTATTACTAAGATTCACTTGATAGTGATTATGGGCTGGTTGGGTCCACTGCTTTGTTTTTACAGGTTCAGAGCTTTTGGGTGCAGAGCAAGAAGTTTCTGGTATGCAAAGAAGGGTGCATACTGGGCAATATAAATAAAAATAAGTAATTTTTTGGCTATTTGAAGCACTTGAGGACACTCCTTTTCAGAACAAAGTGTTACCTGGTTTTCCTTTTGTGCTTCTCAATCAGTGAGCTGATATGTTCTTTCCTTGTTGTAACATGAAGATGTCTGAAGATGTACTGAAGTGGGCTGGATATGAAGTGTTACAGCAGCATACTAAATCTTTTTTCCTTCTCCTCTAGACTTATTCTTCATGGGCTTCATATTTACAGGATTCTTCTTCTTTGTATTCATTACAAGAGTAACTGGCCTTGGTTATGATGGTGAGTAGATGTGTCAGGATACCTTGTGCTCTTTCCAAAGTCTTGTTTTTATGAATCCCTTAAGTAAAATAGTTGTGCTTCTTGTTGGGCAGCCTTAAGAAGGTTAAGAGGATAACACCTGGGTACTTGAACTGAGCTCTGATTACCATGATAGTTGAATATGAAACAGAGTATCTGTTGCTTCCAACATCAAACAGTGATGCAGAATTAATATCTGCAACTCTAAAAGACCGATTTAAATATATGTCCAAGGAAGATACAAGTTTTTAGAAACTCTGGAAATTTGCAACATACTTCCTTCCTACTTCTTTCATAATGGGTGCACCTCAGTTTCAGATCAGATGCAACTTTCATCTGTAAAATGATGGAGTGGAAAGTCTCTATCCTGCTTATTAGACTGGCAAGAGTTAGTTCGTTTTGTCTTTGTCTTATCTTATAGTTGAAGTTTTGGTTCATGTGCACTAGCCTTTGCAACCACAACTGCCCTGGGAACTCAAGGTACTAATGCACATAGTAGCAAGACTTTCATTCAGCCCTATGCCACTCTTTCGGTAGCACATCCTCTGTTGCAGACTGGAGTCTAAGTGAAATGCATGAAGCAAAGACTGATACTCTTGTTTGGCTTTTCTCAGAAAGTTTTCAGTAGGTTTAAAAAAATCAAGCATGTATGCAAAGCTGCTGGACATTATTGCAGTAACTGAAGTTTTCATTGTGTTGGATTTTCCATTTTCTTTTTCAGTGCGTCTTATTTTGACAGCGGTGGCTGGAATTATTGGAGGACTTTTCCTGGTTGCAAGCTGGTGGAGATCTGGCTCTATCCTACTCTGTATGTTTATTATTGGACTTGTGCTGGGATTTCTCTTTTCATCAACGGTCTTCTTTACTCCATTAGGTATGCACTGAAATATTATGCTGCAAAGTGCTGGCTTTTCAGTGATGTGTTCCTGCTGTGTTACAGGGACGTTGCAAGGCTCTAAGATGAATGTCACTCTCTGGTTTATCTTAGTGTTATATTTAACTTTCCCTTTCCAGTGTTGGGAGGAATAGAAATGTACCTAAAGCTTTCTTTCAGGTGTGCTGTAACTAAAACTACATAGAATCTGCACTGGTGGGAAAAGGAAACTGCTTATTCTGCAGAGAAATTGCTGTGGCTCTTCCTACCTAAGCTGCGTGCCATCTTAGCAGTCTGTGTCAACAGCTGTGCTACAGGCAAGCTGTCTGTCTTGTTGTCTATCCAGAACAAGTCACACTAGAAGATCTGCAGTCTAACTTGGAGGCTTCAGGCGTAAAGGCATCATGGATTAAGAGGAGCTCTTGCTGTTGCCTTTCACCATACTACAGTGCAGGGCTCTGGGAGCACTGCACTGTAAGAGTTAAATTTGTATTTGCGGCTAGATTGGCATCATCAGAGTCTTTAGAATGACTTTTTAAAGAGAAACAATAGACAAGTGTCTTAAAAGCAAGCAGGCTGCTGAGCTAGGATCTCTCTGGGACATCAGGCAATCAGCCACACTGCTTTCTCTATTGTAATTTTAAATCTCAGAACTCTTCTACTAAAGATCTCTTGGTGGGACAGCTTTTCATTCTCCATTCTTGTGTGTTTCACTCAAGCCACAATGCTGTAAAAATCCATGCAGTCCCTGATTGTTTGTCATTCCAGTAATACAGTGCCTCAGCTGGAGGCCAGCTTGTCCCCTCTGTTTAATTGACAGGCCTTAGAAAGCAGGGGGAGCAAAGCAGTGTTTGAGTGACTTGATTAGTCTTCCAAAAGCCAGATGAGTTTGTTGCCTTGTGTTGTGATGGTTGCACTTGCACTATAATCTATAAACCTGCATGTGTGTAAGTTTGGCTGTAGATTATAAACCTATATAGGCAACAAAAGGGCTTCTTATTGGGCAGAAGTACTCTGGTACTATTCATTCTTGCCTGATAAATAACATACCTCATAGAAAATCATTATTTCATGGACAAGATATGATGTCCTCATTTAGAGTACAGGACCTATACTCAACTGCGACAGTCTTTTTCTGCTCTTGTTCTGAACAACTTGGTTACAATGCTTTTAAACAATCAGCATTTGAGCTTAAAAGCTAAGCTTTTCAACACTGTACTTATGAATGTACAGAATCTTCAGGGGAGAAAAGCTTATCCCCAGCCACTTGCAAAAAAGGGAAGTTTTACCTAACTAGTAAGTCACATGTGGAATATGGTGTCTTTGCAGGAGACTACAGGGTCTTCCGTGATGATGTGGTGTTCTGGGTGACCTTTTCTTCTGTAGCCTTGATGATCCCAGTGCTTTTTGTTGGCTGTCCAAGAATTGTAAGTAATCTGCACAGTCACCTCAGGAGGAAGGGATGTCAGACTTATTAATGCAGAATGTAGCCCTGTGGGATATAGAAGAATTAATGCAGCTGCATGAAGCCCAGCACGAGACTAACTCTAGGGAGTTCTTGTTCAACCCTACTTGTGCTAAGTGGTCCATGAGGAAAGGAATGACACTCTGCAGTGTTGCACACAGCATCCACTAACAGCTGCATTTAGTTGACTTCTGCTGTCTTAGCTGGTTGTCTGGTTAACAGGTGTGTGCAGCCAGTTTCTTGTAGACAAATGGATATAAAGTACTGCCTGAAGGAGACAGGGAAATTAAAGTGTGTTTATCAGTCTCCTAAAGCTGTGGTTTTTCTCCCCCTCTAGCTGAACATACTGGCCTCTGGAATAGTGGGCTCTTATGCAGTGGTCCTAGCTATTGCTTGCTATGTCTACACAAGTCTTGCTTACATCACCTTAGACCTACTCAGAAGGGTCCTCAATGATTACTTCAGCAGAGCTTACACCAATGTGCCTTTTCAAACAAATGGTGAGTACTGCTCTTAAGACTTTTTTTTTTTTAAGTACTTGTATGAAGTGCTTATTTGAGAAACCACTGCCTCTTTGGCTCTCTTGTAATCAGTGAGGACTGAAGGTAGAAAGAGAAGAAAGGAGAACACAGTAGGCACAGTGTGAAATTTAACACCTAGAAGATAAATTGTATCCTCCAATAGAAATATGAAGTAGACTCAAAGGCACTATTCTTCCAGCAGCTGTTATGTGACAAAGGCCCTTGTGAAAGGTGCTTCTCAGCTTGGACTGCCACCTTGCTGATGAGTTTGTAGAGTGGGCAGTAAAAAGGCCTAATGATAACTGATCACACTTATCTCATCTCTTCTTGCCTCTTCATGGATTTACTCGGGCCTGTGAGGCTGCAGAGACAATATTTTGTTCCTTTCTTTCAATGTTGTTGCTTGGGAAAGGAAGGGATGTTCTGCTTTAAGAGTCTATTTGTTTTCTTTCTTTCAGACTTCATTATCCTGTCAGTGTGGACAATGCTGGCCCTCAGCGGAGTAACTGTGCAGCTTCGCCGAGAGAGAAGTGAAGTGCCCTTCCCGCCACACCCCTACCTCGCCTGGAAACGGGAAAGGGAGCGCAGAAGCACCAATGTCTTAGACCCTAGCCATCATATCCCTCCCCTCAGAGAGAGGATCCATAACAAGCTACTGCATATCAAAGAATTTTTTCAGAAGGAGCAGCCGGCTGGGGAAAGAACCCCGTTACTCCTGTAACCTGTCAAATAACTGGTAGGAGCAGAGAGGAACCATCTAGGAATGATGAGATGAGTGACCAGTGAACCAGCCAGTGGGGCAGGGTTTACTACTGCCAAGTTGTCCTGCTTGATAAGAGGAACATATTTGTTCAACCTGGAAGAAATGTTACCTGTCTGGTACACTACATGCTGTTTTGTGACTCCTTCCTCAATGGCCTACTCAGCGTGCTGTAACGTGTATTTCTAGCTTCAGAATCTTGTACTAATGCTCAAGTACAGGTATTTATTTTGTGGTGATCTTCTAGTCTGATGTTTGTCTGTTAAGTATAAAACAGCCCTTAGAAAGCAACCTCTACAATGCTGGTTCTTCCCTGGCAGTGTGGAGACTACTGCTGAAATATTGCCTGACTCGCTCCTTAAGGTGAGCGGTCTGTCAAATTGCAAGGGATGAGAGATAAGGACCATACACAGAAGAAGTCCTTCTAGCAGGAACTGAAGTATCACCTCTTAATATAGGTACAAAATGTGTGGCTGTAGTCACAATTGTTTCCAGGAAGTATTGCTGAACCTTGCAAGCTAAACTAAGTGACTTGAATCTAAACTGCACTGAATTAACTGTTGTAAGCGTGCACTCTGGGGCTCAGGAAGTAGACCTGATCTGAGACAAGATGACTTTCTTCCTTGCTTTCAGCAAGCTGGTCATCTGGTGTCTGTGCAGAGATGACTGCTAAGAGAACACAAGAAGTTTGCCTTCTTGTTTGCTTTCTGAACAGCCTGTATTTAATTTCTGCTGTGGTATAATCTTTTTGACAGTGCTGTCATAAAAGAAAAAAAGCGAAGTAAGCTCTTTGTAGCCAACAGCAGTTGTTTTTCTTGCCTGGAATTAGTCAAAACACTAACTGTTTTTATTTTAATCAATTTATCTTTTAATTTTGCCTTTAAGGGGTGAAAACAGCATCCAGCTGACAAAATACCAGGATCCTTGCTGACTAAATCTTTCTTCTGCCAATTTGGCTTGCCTCTGCACAAAGCACAATGCAGTAAAACAGATAAGGGACCACTCCTGTGTTCAATGAACTGCAATCTTGTGCGGTGGCTTTATTCCACTTCTTAAAAACAAAACAAACAGCTGTTTTCAGAATTCAAGCTGGAGCGAGGTGGTTTTGGCTCCCATAAATGCAGAAGCAGTCCTGGTTTTACCTTCCCTCGCCCCCCACACCCAATCCTGGTGTTAACATTGTGTTTACATGGTGATCTCTCATGCACTAAAGGATGGTTGTGTCCTGTACCCTTGATACAGAATATGGTGGCTCTTCCTTCTTATTCTCATTATCTTTGTACCTTTAATGTGGGCAGCAAAGTGCATAGTGCTTCCTGTCTGAAGGTGAATGGCTGTTCCCAAGTGGTGGAAACTTAAGTTCTTAGCCACCACTTGGAATTCTTGGTAGTAAGTATGTAAGAAACAACTCTTCAGGGAAACTAGCAAAAGGACTTGATCTGAAAATCTAATTAAAAGATAAACTCCCTGGCAGTAGGAAGGAATGGAGGACTTTGAAATGACTCTACTTACCGGCCTTTTCTCTTTAAGGAGTGAAAGCTTAATGACATAGTATCTGAGGTGACTGAGCTGGTCTGATGTTTAGAGACTCAAATCCCCAGATTGCTCGAAGCTGGAACATCTGCCTCAAACACCAGAGCAAGGCTGAGATCTGGCCATTTGGGTCTTCCTTTCTGCTGCTGTTCTGTGTGGCATGTGGGAGTGAACACGGAGCCCTTTCCCTGGCCTCTGGCAGACTGATGCTTGCTGACTGCCCTTACTGCACTGATACTGAGCATGTCTCTGCCATATTTGATGGCAAGTAGCAAACACTTACTTGGTATGTAAATGGTCTTAAACATGTTTACCTTGTTTTTTTTTCACTGCTGTGATTTAATGTTGTGGAAGAAACAAGTTTAACTCTAATTTTCTATATCTTTTATAATAAAGATGTCTTTTGAAAGAATATTGGAACTAAAGGGGTCTCTTTGAATTCAGCGATGCTTTTACAACTTAGTTTTTGCCTTTGCTGTTGTTTGTTTGAAAGTTTTCTTAGCCCCCCAAGGGATGGGGGGGCTTAGCTGACCTTTGTAGGGATTTCCTGTAGTTGTGGTGACACCCAGAGGCTGAGCATGGTTATGTCCTGTATGAAATGCACAGAAGGGCCTGGTCCGGAGAGGCTTTAGAGCTTTGCCAGATGAGATTCTAGAGAACTAAGGGATTGCTGTCATTCCCTTCTTGATTGGAAACCGGTCTGCAACAACGTGTAGGAAGTCTGTGGTGGAACTGAACTTTGAACTTTTTTTCTGAGATGCTGACTTGGAGATTTTGTGGGGTTGTTTTGTTGTTTGTTTTTTTTTTAAAAATACTGCTAAGAGATGGTATGGGAACTTTCTTCTGTATGCTATCATAGTAAGTAACAATGCTAAGAATCAGAATACACTAACTGATCTACTGAGGTGTTAAAGGAGTAATTTTCAAGGCATTTTTTGTGTACCCCCTGAGGCAGTTGCAAAAGGAAAACTGGGTCCTACCTTGCCATGCCTCTGTTCTGACTGCAGATTCTCTCACTGGACGTATTTACTGCCTTGCTGTGTTAGCTGCATTATCTTGCAGTTTTGCCAACTTAAAATAATACTATCTGCTGCTTCTGGGGAAGCTAAATCTAAACTATCTTCTAGATAGTTATTCCCCTGTAAAATCAAGTGTTTTGAAACTTTATGTAAGCTGAAGCTTCCTGGGCTTCTCAACTGGTTGGTAGAAATATGATGCATACATCACATCATAAAACACTTGGAACTGTTTTGGGTGCTCAGCTGCTGGGTAGTGTGTAATACTTGTGATAGGGACTGCTGAGAAAATGTTGGCTTTGTTTAATACTGTGCCTTTTGGAGCTGTGAGCCTGGCTTTGAGAAACCTGAGCAGAATGACAACATTGCGTGTGCCAATCTGAAACAACACCTCAGGCCTAGGAAATACAGGAACTGGCTGATGGTTTTCTGCTATTGCTGACAGAGAGAGACTTTTAATATGTCCCGGCTTATTTGGTGGCCTGCTTTCAAGCTGTTTTGTTTTCCTGTCTGAGGCATTTGGGTATTGCCAAAACTGTATGAAACTGTCGCAAGGATCTGGATACCAAAATGGAAGGAAGGTAAAACGATGCTTAGTTTAAAATTGCTTGAGGACTAAAATCTTGTTATTACATGGCACAGACATCAGTAACTCCTCAGGAGGGTGTTTTTATTCTTCATTAGGGGCTAAGGACTGAACTTGGCTAGCAGGTAGGTTGTAGTGGTAAAACTACTGATACTCCTAGAAGGACCTGGACAAGAAGCTCAGCCAACTGCAGTGACCTCTGGTGGCGCTGGGTTTGGGCAGGAGAAAGTGTTTTACAGTTTTCTTGTTTAATAGAAGTGCTGCAAAGGGAAGAATGGGACCCTCTGTCTCCACTCTGGTAGCTTCCACACCCAATGTGAGGTCTGTTCCTCATTGCTGCTCTCGGCCTGAGCCATGTTCTGCTGCTCTTGAGTGAGCTTGTCAGCTTTGCAGCTCCCGGGGAGATGCTCATGACGTAAACATCATCATCTTCTATCTGATCTCATTAAGTAAACCCTAATGTGTTTTTTAACTGTTTCCTCAATTTTTAGGAAACGAGGTTAGCACACTGCTGCTCCTAACCATGAAGTGAGGAGTATGGTTTGCCTTGTAGTGTCCAGGCAGCAGGCTGGCTTAAGCCTCCTAAAATCATCCTTCAGCATTGCAGATCTTGCAGCTATTGCTCATCTGTGTCATCTTCCTTACTGCTTCCTGAACTCGTGTCAAGTTACCCTTCCACAGCCTTTGCTTTTCTTTGCAATAGCAAAAGAAATAAGTGAGGCTGAAAGGATTTCTTTGGTCCCCTCTGTATGTGTCTTTTACTCCAAGCTGGAACATTTGCAAAAACATCTTTTCCCAAAGCCCGCCTTTTGTAAGCTGTCACTGACACTTCTCACCCCAGCAAGGCTCTGTCCTTGCCCTTATCTGAAAACATTTTTGAAGAACAGGAAGCCCTTCCTGAGAAATAAATACAGCCCATTTTGAAACATGCATTTTTCACTAAGCCTTTGAGCTTTTCATCTCTCTGCCGATAACTGGCAGCAGCATGTTGTAGGTTTCACAGAATGTTAGGGATTGGAAGGGACCTCAAAAGATCATCTAGTCCAATCCCCCTGCCAGAGCAGGAAGTTTGAATGTGATTTTTGCACTGGGACCTGTGGTGGGCTTTACTGTAACTCTGCTTTGCAGTTGGTTTATCCGGTGAATAGTCAGAATTGAAAGCGTTGTGTTTTTGGCAAGTCAGTAGCCTACAGACTGAGATTATAAGTGTTGGGTCAATGTGTTCTAACTCAGCGGCTGGGATGCATTGATACATCCCTGCCTATTGATTTGAATTCTGTCAATATTCATCTGGTTAGGTTGTCTCCCCTCACATCTTTCATTAGTAGGCTTTGATGTTTCAATTTTCCTTAGACATAATAGCTCAAATACCATTTTTGTTCAAGCGGATGCTTGTTGTTTATAATATTTTTTTAATTGATGTGACACCTTGTTTGCTAGCACATAGCTATGGGCGGACAGCTGTCTCCTGTTCAGGTATGCAAGGCTTTATACATTCATGCGGGCAGGAGGAAGACAACTCCAAAACAGAGTCATAAATTAGCTCATTTTGGGACTGAGAGGGAGTGGGAGGAAAAAATAGTTGTGTACAACTTCCTTGATTAGGAACTGTTTGTTCACAAGTCTGCCTTGTCAACAAAAAGCACTTTTAGCAATTTTTCCACATTATCCTTACTGCCTTCTGGTGTAACAACAGATTATTGAATGCACTCAAAAAGGGCTGGTTTCATTTTTTTTATTATCCTGAATGCTCTGGGGAAAGAGCTACATGCAAGAAGCAAAAAGCACAGATAGGAGGCAGCTGCTGTTTGCTGAGCCAGTCTTTT